ATATCCTGGCTTCGGCTGGGCTTGAAATAACCCTTTTGCTGTCCTCCGCTCTTTGCATCAGTGGCTTCCTAGGTTCAAGCGAGGGCATGTGTGGAGCTGAGATGTGTGTCTTCGTGAAAGAACATGTAGAGAAAGTCGTATTGGCATTCGCATCAAGTGCATTGCGCATTTTTCGAAGTTTGGCCTCCTTCCAGGGACCTTGATTTTTACCCGCTGGCACTGACGTCTTTTAATTGGTCAGCCGGTTAGCGCGGTCGATGCTAATAATAAAAACACACACATCGTCGCCGTCGGAGAGCGCATCACCAGAGCCGGGTGGAAGTTCATGTTGCAGCGCCAGCTTCGGTTTCTTGGAAACCGCCCCGCCATCGGGTCCGCGCTTGCCGAACTTCTTCTTCCTTGCCCGTCCCTTGGGTTTCCCTATGGTGCTTGCGTGCGTGTTGTGTGTTCTTTGGGTCACCACGTGTGTGTGCGATTGGGTGTTTTTGTTGTTTTTCTTTTGTTTTGCTCCCATCATTGGACTCTATCGTCTACCCCTCCCTCTGGCCCCTATCCTCCACTTACTTCTACCAGCTAGACGACCCAACCGGGGTCACATAGGAGGGGGGGGTTGGACCCCCTCCTGCGGTTCCTGCCTGAGTTATTTTTATCGCGAGAAGGGTACAGCAATCCCTTCCCTCGCGACCTAAGAAGTCGATCAAGTGTACCAACAACGAGCTTTGTAGCGAATCTCTTCCAACGGAGACCAGGATATAATCAGCGAGAAAAAACTCACTTTGTCGGGACTCGAGCCCATGACCTGGCCCTTAGCAGGCTGCGAGGCTACCCACTAGACCACCGGGTCGACCGGTACATACATGTGTGTTGTGTGTGCGTGCGTCGCCAGCGGGAAAAAAAATCTCCCATGGCTCGGCACAACTCGGCACAACAAAATGTGGAATATCTCGAGAACCAGATTTTTCCCAGCAAACCCCAAAAATTCCAGCCTAGATATTGACCGGAGGAAACATTTGCCACAGTCTATTTTGAAATCGGTCGGTTGGTTATCTCGAATAAAACAAAACAAGTTGGTGCTCTATATCAGCTTTTTGGGCGATGATATCTTCGTCAATTTTGAATATTTTGAAAAAAAACATAAAACACAGTCTGGCAAAGTGCGAGATCTGTTAGAATCCGTTGAGTTTTATGGCATCGGTAAACACTCTACCCCAGAAAAAACATAACAAGTTTTCCGGTTTTCAAGCATAAAAAGTCAAGGAAAAACAAAAAAGAAAAAAACTCTCCGTCACGTGATGCGCCTGGAAACAGGGCGTTTGCCGGTACTTTCGGATTTCGGAACAACAATCACCTGTGTGCAGAGAAAAGTTGTCACTTGTGCCAGGAAAATTTAGGATAAATTGTTGTGCACGGACCGTACGAGGTGCGGCTCGATATTTTTCCTTTGCCTCCATTGCGAAGCATGGCTCCTCGCGAAGGACCTGGTGTTCAACACACCACCTGGGTAGCCGTGTCCCTAGGTCAATAAATAATTAAATGCTGACTTTCCTGTTGCCTTGAGTGCTTGGGCAACCTGTACACCTTTGAACTACCGAAAAAGTCTTGCTTTGCGGCGGTGGCCGTACGAGGGGAAAAAATGTTTCAGGACACCCGATTTTCTGCCGACCTCGCGAACGCGGGCTGAACTCAACAACGCCAAGTACGCTACCCCTCTACCTCCACAAATGTGGCCACGGCCCTGAAGGCGCGAAAGCGAGGGTCCCCCACCAGTGCCTGCGGAGGCGACAAACTTCCATCCAGGCGGATAGCGAGTGCGCCAGCTCTCTCGAGCCCACGGTACGCGGAGGGCGACAAAAGACAAGGCTCACCGAGTAGTAGATGAAGCGAGTCAGGTAGGCCACCTGGGTGAGGGCGATCACTCCCCGAACGCCGACCCGCCTGATGAGAGGCCCCGAGAGGTAGAAGAACGGCACTTCCGCGATGCACATGATGAGACGCGCGAGCCCGCACAGCACGTGCGAACCCCCAAGCTCTTCCAGCCTTGGTTGGGAGATGGGGTTGGGGGGTTGTGTGGGAGTTGAAGCACAACGGTAGAAGGAGGGCAGCAGCGTAGGGGTTATAACAGGGTCAGGGTTAATATCTGTGTGTGGGAGTTGAAGCACAGAGTAGAAGGAGGGTGGCAGCGTGCGGGCTATAGCAGGGTCAGGGTTTACATCAAAGGCCAACTCCAGCCCAGAATGTAGTCATAACTAGGGGCCTCGCGTGTGTACCGGTGGAGGGATAAGGGCGGCGGAATGTGCGGCATGGAGGAAAATGGGCAAGCCGAGGTTCACGCAAGCTTCACCTTGAACACCAACATGCGAACACAAATGATGCATACAGTAGGGCTGCTGTTGCGTGTGGTTCGCCACTTCAGAACGGCTGGTGTGATGTATGTTTAGCTTGGGTTTCAGTTTCGCCTCTCACAAAAACAACCAGAAGAAATTCGGTTCACGTGTCGACGTCGGCGACGCTTTGTCGCTGAATCGGCGAGACCATAGCAGTCGACACAACCAAACGACCCAACTATCAGAGCATCACCTCGCACAAAAGACTAACCATGCTATTTGTACAGCAGTGCTATTGAGACTCCAACCAACCAACCAACAACAAGTGACTTTTTCAATCAACGAACACACGATCCCCAAGAACAAGAGCAAACGATTGCTCCACAAGTCGATAATTTCTTGATCACCTGATGAAGAGAAATGTGTCGATTACACCCGATCCCATGCCGCTGAGCCCCACTGCCATGAAAAAGGAAGCGCTCTCTCCCGTATTCGTCATGATCCGAACGGCCATGAGCACACCCCCCTGCTCTTTGGCCTTCCTCCCGGGTCCCTCACCATCACCTCTGCTGGCGCCGCTGCTGCCGTTGGTGTCGCCGCCGCCGTCCTTGTCCGAGGTCGTCCTAGGGCGGGACAGCAAGGCGGAGTGCGTTTGAGCTTCGTCGTTGCCTTCGGGTTCGTCGTCGTCGTAGAGATGGTCATGATTACCATCAGCGGTAGCGGCGGTGTCGGTGGCCACTGCTGGGGTCACGGCGGCAGTTCCGATGAGACCGGCGCACTTCGGTTCCCCTGCCGTCTTATCACGAGCAACAGCGCAACCTCGGGTTGCGGTTCGAGGAGAGACAGGACTCTCCGTCCTCTTTTCGCCGAGCTCGAAGTCTCCCCCCGTAGCGACGCCGTCACCATCACCGCCGCCGCCGCCGCCGCCGCCGCCGCCGCCAAGCTGCTTGTCTCTAGGTTTGGTTCAGGGGGACACGGAAACCAAATGCACGGACATCACATCATCATCATCATCATCATTGATTCCTCAGTGAAAGCGAAACAAACAGTCCCGGCGAAGTTATCAACTCATCAGGCACTAAATTGCGGCGACGTTGAACGTTGTGGTGGGATGCGAGCGCAAGGTCGCGGAGCAGTGAGATATCGAAAGGCACGGGCAATTTCAACGCTTCAGGCGGGGGCGAAGAGGCTCGCGCTCCTTCGTGGGCACCCGTAGGAGGGTCCAGGAGCGCACGTACGGATGTCTCCTTGTGCCCTGACTCGCCGCTCGCGACAGTGGTCTTGAGCGCTTCACGCCACCGTGGGTTCGGTCGGCCGTTGGGCACTGCCTAGCGTGCAGACTTGCAAAGATGTAACACCATTCGATGGCTCTACTGCTGTACGGCATCCCTCTCCTTAGCCACACCTCTTGTCAACAGCAACAGCGTGTGCCACTCGATCGCCTCGATGCACACCTTGCCACTCGACGCAGCGCTTGGCAACACAACATTGTTCCCGACAGGAAACGCAACTTATTCTTACGCACCTCACTAGGGTCCGGCCCATCAGCACCAACCACACCATCCACAAAACCCAGCATGAAACTCGCCCTGTTTACGGTCCTCACCGGGTGGCGGTTCCGCCCCCTCGTCGCCCGATGGGAACGCCGGTCGACGCCGCCATCGCCACCGCGACATTCGCGACGAACACAATCATGACCCCGGTGTAGCTGCCGCCGTAGGAGTCGCACACGAATCCCCCGATGAGCGAGGCGATCCCGAAACCAATCGCACCCCACAGCCGAAGATTGCCGTATCTGCTTTGGTAAGGAGAGGTGTCGAGGGGGGGGGGGGGGGGG